GGGGGGGGGGGGGGGGTTGTGTTTGTGTTTGTGTACTGTTCTCTTTCAATCCGCCTCATCATCCACGACAATCATTTTCGAGACGGGAGAGATCGCCAACAAACACGGATTGCTGTGTCGAGCTTTGTCCTGCAACACACACGGGCACTGCCACTCCACCGCCGTACTCCTACACCGCATCGAGTGGTACAGGATATATTCCTTCGAGTCGTTGCGAAGGAAGCTGTACATCGTCTGGGTTGTGAATAAACTTCCAAAGAAAGGGCAAACACGAATGGAGTACACGGCTAGTGGCAAAAAAGGCGGTTAGCGTAGAGGAGGCCGATGCCACGGCGAGAGAACCCCGTTGAACAAGGGCTCTGATGTGATCCACGAATCACACACACACACACACAAGGGCAGGTTTCCCCTGTTGCTCTATACCGTTTCTGTCCTTAATCCGGAGAATAGCTCAGCCTTCCCCATACCGCCCCCTCACGGGGTCCCAGTTCATGACATTTACAAGTGTTTTGTGTTTTCAACCGCACTGAGACTGGCGTCTTTTCAATGGTCAGTCGGTTAGCGCAAGTCGATGCTAATAAAAAAGACACACATACACACAGCGCTTTCCGTGTTCAGCCGCACTGACTGACGTCTGTTTATTGTTCAGCCGGCCAACCCGGTCTACGATGAGTCAAGAACCTCGCGCTAGGAACGGGTGCCGCCAACCCGTTACACAAGACAGCACACTTATACTCGTTCCCTCACCTGCGATGCTCGAGGTCAGCCTTGTTGCCCGCGAGCGCGATAATCACGTTCGGGTCTCCTCTACGCTGCAGCTCCTTCACCCACGACTTAGCACCGTTGAAAGACTCCTGAAAGCAGTGTCGGCCAAAATAGAACAAATCAAAGACGTCAACGACAGAACAAAATGGGGTCGCACAACGGAGAACGAAAACGGGTAGGGAGAATTGAGTAAACAATACTTGTACGCCTTAAACCCTCCTGCAAAAGCTGCATACGTGCATGTTGTACTAGGACGCCGATGGGGACTTAACTCAAATGCTGCATCGTACGCTGGTTCATTCCTGCACCCGCAAGCGTCAAATGGTCTCCGCAGCACGATCGAGACCACTGTAGGCTCCAGGAGGAGCAAACAAAGTTTCAACCGGCGAGGCTGGTGTTTGCAACTCCATCTACGGCCGACCACGATGTTGCTATCCGCCGCTGCGTCTTGCGCGCATGTGTGCTAAGAGAATCATGTTTGGCCCTACCTTCAAATGGCCCAAACTTTCAGAGACAACAAACGCTTGTCATGATGACTTGAGGCATATGCCTACTTTACAGCAGTAGTCTTGGGGGTCTTAAATGTCCCAGCAAAACACGATTGGTGATGAGCTGCCAAATAGGCGCAGACGGCTGTCCAGCAACCCATCCCGCTCAACCCCACACACGTCCATCCAGGTCCAGAAGCGGCATCGATGTCCCACCACCGCGACCATCAGGCTCTACGCGCTAACCGTTACACTTAAGAACATAGAGAAGGCGCGAGCACCCGTCTGATTTCGTCAATGCCTGGACTCTGCGCGCAACGCATGAGTCCAGTGGCTTCCCTTGCTGCGTTTCACACCAACTTTCCACGGCAATACAAAAACGCCAACACGGTAAGCACGGCGAAACCGCTATAGCAAATCACTGATAACCGTGCACCGTGCATGTAGCACTAGTCTACACGCCTCGGGGCAACAACCATCCTCCCTCACGTACTGCAAAACAATCACCTTCCCTTCTCCCAACACCCCTCCCGTCTCTCCCCCAAGAGGAACAGACGAACCCACAATCAACAAGCTCAGTTGATTGACACCCCTTCCTTCCCCTGTTTTGCTGTGCACTTCCCAAAAACGAGGAACAAGAACTCGTGCACCACTCCAGGCCACACGCACCCCCATCTGAAACCTTTTAGGTGTCAGCTGCAACTGTACAGGCGCACATCTGTCACACTACAGCATGGTTGTTCCGGGAAACGAAACTACTAAAACAAAAAAGAGAAGCGTATGCTGAAAGGACAGACCATTTCGCAACAGTCGATCTGTTGTGTTCGAATACTATTGCCTTCTTCGTAACGTCGTACACCACAGACCATTGGCAGCAACGATCTGTTCAGTTCTGAAACTCTTTTTCTTCGTCACGTCGTACATCACAGACCCTTGACAAGTCGGTTTGTTATGTTCTACAACTCTCGCTTCTTCGTAACGTCGTACACCACAGACCATTGGCAGCAACAATCTGTTCAGTTCTAAAACTCTTTTCTTCGTCACTTTGTACACCACAGACCATTGACAGTCCATCTGTTGTGTTCTAAAACTATTGTCAGGTTCGTAACGTAATACACCACAGGCCATTGACAGTCGATCTGTTGTGTCCTAAAACTATTGTCATGTTCGTAACGCCATACACCACTGACCATTGACAGTTAGTCGATCTGTTCAGTTCTAAAACTCTTGCCTTGTTCGTAACGTCGTACACCACGATCGCCGCCGCCGCCCCCCGGTAGTACATGGGTGCGAGGCTACGGTATCGCTCCTGCCCAGCGGTATCCCAAATCTCGAATTTTACAGTCGCGTCATCGAGCTGCACCTTTTGTGTCAGGAACGCGGCTGCCCACAAGAACAAGGTCGACAGCGTGGGACACAAAAAAGGCGGTGGCAGGGGGAGCATTGGGCAGGTTACTGTTACATGGTTTCAACTCCTTGCCATCTGTAGCGACAGAGTCAGCGCGAGCAGAACCGCATGGCAGAGACGTCCATCACAAACCTCGCTGCATTGCCAGTCCTGCCGTAGCCGAGAGGTGAGCAAGCATGGCCTGCTAAACTTAGCGCCAAAGGATCTATGGTCCAGATATTCACACTACCACACCAGCAGCTGGTAGCTGGCAGCTGCAGCAGCAGCAGCAGGTCAGCACGTAGTAGACCCCACCACTTTCAAGAAAAGACGTATAAGCATAGAGCACTCGCCAACACAACTGCCATCCGTAAGAGAACGCCATTACTTGCGGCCATCGCTTGGAGTACACAGCACGACGGGAGAAATGGAACCAAAAACCAGGTCCACAACAAACTTTGCCCTTCGGGCATGCTCCACAAGGCCAGCAGTATCCCTACGAAGTGTGCACGTGCACCCACGCGTCCATGGGAAAGGTAGATGTGTGGCCGGGTCTTTCGAAAACGGGGAATACAATCAAATCCATTACCACCAGCTCGTCGCTCCTAACGATACCTCAAACCCTCCGGTAGATAAATCTTCTTTCCAAAGCGATATGTCCATTGCTACGACGGCGACAATATTAAAACGACGGCGACAATATTGTTCGCCGGTGAATACAAGGGGGGTGCCGCTGGCAACAATCGTGCTTGAGCTGTGTGTTCATTTGCTCCCTCAAAAAGTACTCTTAAAATACGAACCCAGATTGTAGTCGAACATACTTGTAGGCATCAGTGTTCCGCTTCATAGGAGGGCAATGTACATAATGTCCAATGTCCATCAATGGTGCGGTACTCCATGCGGTTTTCCGTGTAGTATGGCGTGTCGCAAGACGGGTGCTGGCCAATTCCAACGAGCAGCGCCTCATATAGGCCCAATTGACCTGACGCAACCACTCTATGAACAACTCTATCGACTTCCCCATTAATACTCATGGACAGCAGTAAACTAGCGACGATAGCAGTAGTTGCGGTCTGGCAATCTGCAGAAAAGGGGGTACGAGGACCTCGTGCAATGCAAAAGCCGGACGTGTGCGGGGTGCTTACCTCAATGTTATCTGACTTTGATCTTTAGGGCCGCGATGGAGATGTGCAGAACTTCTCTAAGACAAAAATAAAAAAGGATGGTGCCACACAGCAGTTGCAAACCCCTTGATCTATTGAAAAAAACACAAACAATCCGTGTGTGACTGAAAGACACCCGTGTTGGCCCATCTACACCGAGCTCAAAATGACTACAGTTCGACCCTAAGCAGGAAGCGAGTGTGAAATGTTAATGTTACCGTCGTACAGTACTCAAAAGTAGCTTGCCTAATGTGTTCACTTCTGCCGTCCGCTAATCTAGTGAATGAGTTCGACAGGCCGAGTTCCAGGCGTCGCAAAGCCCAAATTTAGGACTCTCAGCAAAATCCTCTCGCTTTCGCTTTCGCCTGTCCTCGGGTGGAACCGCCGCCACACTGTTTTCAAGTGATCTGCTGTTCCCCCGCGTTTAAAAAATAAGAGACATGAAAGAACAAACCCTGTTTATGCCCCGAACCTCCTTCCATCCATATGCCCACACCTTGGGGTGCTATTCTACTGAGCGGTCTTCTGGGGGGGCAGCGTTTGCGACCTCTTCTGCAGACAAACACGACAGACACCTCCCTCCCCCCTTACCTCCGATCGTGGGTTCTTGGTACTCGAAGAACTCGTCCCTCACAAAACGCACAACGAGACATGACTTCCCCACCGCCGTGTCCCCGAGCAACACCAGCTTGAAGTGGCACACTCTCCCCGAACTCATGTCGCCTGCTGCTGCTGGCTATGGATGGCGGCGGCAGCCCTTCTCTTGTTCCTGTTGGCACGGAACTAATTATTCCGCCCTGCGGCACTGCGGCTGCGTTTGGCAGGAGGTAATCGTCCTTCACCGACCGATGATAGCTGCAAGAACGCGCCAGGGATTCCTGAGCTGTATGCAGGGCCGTCAAGCAGTACGCCGCCTCGGTGTTGGCTACCTCCTTTTTAATTTCCGGCTTCGCAGACCGAATAAGCGGTCGCCTGCTGTGTTCCTTGTTTGGCAGCGTTTCTCTCGTGTTGGCGCTGCAGAGGTGGGTTCGGGCATTTTCCGGGTCAAGACGTCAAGACACACTCACACGCGCGCCCAACACCGTCGTCGTACCAGCTGCAAAAACATTGCACGCCACACGGGTTTGATAATAATAAATCGCGCCATCAGAGCCAGGGCAGAGCTACTGCCTCTGCTCTGCTTGTCCTAGTCAAACTTCAAACAGCGTGCTCTTCGCCTTGCGCGGCAGCAGTTACGTGGCACCGTCGTTGACGAGACAGAAAAGAGGGCTTGAGGTTGACTTTCGAAACAATCAACATCGGCTTCTCCCAAGCGGAGGGATTTGGAAAAGCAGAGGGGATAGAGTTCGACAGAACGTGGATCGCTCAGACGTCTTCACAAGAACACCTGCATGGAGCCGAGCAAGCCTGCGCTCCCGGGGTGTCACGGGCGCGTTTGAGGACCGTGGTCACCAGGTGGGAACGGCACCAAACGAAACGTGCACGACTGCTTGCTGAATCGTTCAGTGCTTGATGACGGGGAAACTCAGCGGGCTGGGCGCATTGAACCTCTCTTGCAAATAAGGCAGCTACGGGCAGAAGCACGACGGAGCTCATCGGTGTGACCTACGAGGGGTTATGAGACCCTGGGAAGCTCTCTCTAGAGTAAACGGGAGGCGGGCACCGCACTCGTTCCTGCTCTCTCCTCTGGTGTGCTGCTGCTGTCGCCGACTCGTTTAGGTTTCCAACGGTACGATCCAATACGGCCTGTACCAAGTTACCGACGCACGACTGTTACCTGTTTAGAACACATACCCACCTGTTGTGCCACACTCACTTTCAATGCAGGACAGCTGGTCGGCGAAGAGGGCACACAACAACAACCGCGTCCCTTGACTACTCCAACCACAGCACAGGCACTTACACGGAGGGGGGGTCGTGGGGAGAAAATGGGGGTATGCGGGGGGCACAAAATGTAGAAGAGAAGAGCGGGGCACCAGCAATCACTCATCAATGCGGTGAGACTACGAGCGCTACAGCTACTGCTGTGACGACTGCTTTTGCTGTCATAGTGATAGGCCCACAGACCACACCCGAGACAGAAAGTTGGGATCTCATGTATGCGTTATACGCAAGTCAGGGGGAGCGCAATATTGGTTTCGTTAACCGCAACCTTTCGCACACACCTACATTACTGCATGGCCAAGGATCAACTTGGATGAAACTGTCAGCAGCACGCCCCGGACGACGACGAACCGTAACATCGGCTACCGCCCCCTTTCGTGAGGGCTTTGCTAATCCACAACCCCGAGCATTGGCAGACCTCAACTTCATATGGGCCAGGGGAACTCAACCCACCCAATCCACCGAGCAGGGCGAAGCGGTGACTTGTGTGTTGTCAGGCGTTTCCTCCGTAAGCCGGCCATCTTGAACCGCCGCGACATCGACAAAATGACGTGCTTGCACTGGTGAGTAAGCCCCAACACAGGTCGACAGCGGTCCACAGTAGTACAGCGGTAGTATCATAGCGGCGCCGTTTCCACATCGATTCGAGATTGCGGAACAGGGACTACTTTACTCCTGTCTACGCAAGTCTATGCATGCTCTACAACAACCAGTTAGTGCAGAAGTGTTTCGGAATCACAGACATTCCAGGAACGATTGTTTGTATTCTTGAGTGCACCCTACCTCCTGTAGATAGGCGTGGGTGTACAAGTACCCCAAAAGCAAAATTCATTTGGTGCAGGTAAGTAAATGTACTATATATGTAGTTCCCAAAGCAATGGTGCGTGCGTTCATGGGTAGTTTTGACTTGCTTGGCGATTGCTACAACCCTTATATTCGTGTTCTGGATCCGAACGGGCGAGAACTTTTCGATTTTTCGATGGAGAATAAATGTACACGGAATCAGCGAAGAACTCTATTGCTGTATGCACTCCTTGAGAAATATCGAGTACGTACATAATTGGGGTGCTTTACAATTCGTTTTCTTTTTCCGGTACAAAGAGGAGCATTTATAATAGGGTTCGAAGCTTGTTCTCTGTGGCAATAATAGCGTCTGGCGTGAACGACGTTTATTTGTTTTTTGCAGTCTTCGTATCACGAGGTGGTTGGATGTAGGCTAAATATCTTTTTTAGAATTATACAGCATTCCTTTGAACCGAGGAACTCTATGGTCTAGGTGGTCTCCTATGTGTACTGAAGTAAATTGCAGACAAACCCTCCCCGACAATATCATGACCAAACTTCAGTCGCATCGATCCGCAGGGATCAGCGGTGCGGGATGTACCTTTAATATTAATATTACTCTTTGACGAACAAACGTGCAACGATTTAGAAAAATATCTCATGGACAGCGGCATATAAGCAATCCAACGCCGGCATCGTTGCCTACAACCTAGATATAGGCTTAACGGGTGAACGAACGCTGAAGGACACGTCTGCATTCTGAGCCGTCTAAACTGACCGGCCTACATCACAGTAGGAAACAGTATACTAACCTCGTTAAACACACACGTCGTCAGCTAAAGTTATTGACGATAGAAGATAGTTTGGTTTTACTGCCCGTGGCCTTTTTAATGCACGGTTCGAAACTCCTCTCCGCCAGTGGTAACCTTCGTCGACACATAGATATAGTTGTAGAGCGAAAGTACTATCAAATGCATGTCAGTTCACAAAGAAATTGTGTCTTGTCTACCTGCTGCGTGTTATTTGCTCGACATACGCATTCCGCCTCGGGTCGTCGACATCTGGCATGGACGTGTTTGCTCGGGGCGGGGGTGGCGAGCAGGGCTTCGCAGCTAGGCCAAATCGATGTCATTCAGGAGTTGATAGCGGCGGATGCAATCGAATTGAACGCGCAGGACGGCAACGGGTGGACCCCTCTCATGCACGCCTGCGCCCGCGGGTGAGTGGGTAGCAGTCGCGGTTGTACGGCGACCACTCTTCTAGTGCATGGACTGAGTACACTGAAGGATCCTGTAGCTTCCCCAAGCACGGCAAAGCTCACAATATGTCGATTGAAGCTTCCCTATTTGGTTTGCAAAAACGAACCACAGTCAACGCGTAGCTGCATGCTTCTTGCACTCGCAGGTTGGGTCGCACGTGGCTTGTACGGCGATACCAATTCAGTAAGGAAAACACGTACAACCAAGCGCTTCCTGGCGCCAAACAAGATGGGAGGTGGGGGGGGGGTCCCTTGAAGAGCGACGCCCCACGGCTATCTAAAGATGTTCTCAGTATGTGAGGTCGTCATCTTGGCAGAGGGTAAAGCTCGTTCAGGGGACCCGCGGGTAAACGAGTGGTCTAAATGGATGTGTTAATTAGCATGTTGACAGGAAGTAAACGCAGTCCGTGCTCGCCATTGCCAACCGCTGGTGGTTGTCCGACTTTGTACGAAACAATCAGGCACAGGTCAGTCGTAGGGGCATTGCTGACCGCCGGAGCTAGCGTGGATATCGAGAGTCACGACGGGCGAACCGCTCTGCATCGAGCAGCGACTTGGAAACGACTGGGGCCCCTCGACCAAGTACGTTGCAAACAACAAGCATCGGAGAAAACAACTTAAGAGAGTGCTGACGTGAACAAACCCGTACCGAAATCGGGGCTGCGAAAGTAGGACTGCGAAGAAAAGGCAAAACCGGCGATCCTTCGGGCTCGTGGGCATCATTGTGGAGCCTACGCTCCCCCTTTACACTCCATGCTCTGACTGACTGTTCCGGCCGATCTGAGACAGATCGTTCGGTAGTCACCCCCATTCATGGCCACTCTCTTGGTTCCAAAACATGCTTGTTTTCTCCAGGCAAACGTACGTAATTGGAGCGCTGACAGCTCGACCAGCAGTACAACGGCAATCGACAAGGTCTCGCACTTGACTAGGACAATCGGAAGAAACCACATGTAGTGTCCGCTCTTTGTTGCTTGAAAAAATTACTTCTTCAGCTCATCGAAGCTGGTGCAGACGTGCGGCACGGGGCGCGAAACAAGTGGACCCCCCTCCACTGTGCAGCGGCAGCTGGAGATGCACACGCCTGCTCAATTCTGGTGGGGGCGGGAGCCGACGTGGACGCACAGGTGCAAGAACTCAAGCACAAAAACGACGTTTGTGCCAAGGGACACTTCGGGTAGTTATTTTTTCCAGGTTGTGTTGCATTTCCAGTTGTCACCCGCCCTTGTTCATGCTGCGCACGTGACACTGCGTCTGAGTGACTAGTTCTCACTGTCCCCTCGTCGCAGGTGTGAGGTGTTTCCTCACATCCCGTAGAACAAAACCTCACTCCCTTCAAACGATCGTAATCGCCCACGCACGCCCGATGGGAGCCAAGTTCAGCGCAGAGAAGATAAGGTCATGGGGCAGGCAGGGTCTGCCAGAGATTGCCCCAAACAGAAGTCAATGAAACGAGTGCCTGCCTTTCCATGCTGTCGCGCGCTGCCGATCATCTTCCCTCTGTTCTACTACTTTCTCGCTCATCGATACAAGGACATCTTCGGCCTCAAAGCCGTCGATGTGGTTGCCGATTTTACCACGACAGACCTGGTGAAGAGAGCTCTCACCCAAGCACCGCAGGGTACCCCGCCGCGATCGTCAAGAGCTTTGTCGACGAGACTTTCGTCGACGCCGTCGTCGAGCTCGAACGCCCCGGTTGCTGCTGCCGCTCCTACCGAAGCTGCTGCCGCTGCTGCTGCAGCGGTTGCTGCCGGAGCGGGCGCCGCCATCGGCAAGCGGCCGTTCGAATCTTTGGGCGCTGGAGTGGACCTACGAAGTAGCGCGACGGCGACGGTGGGTGACGGGGCCACCACCGGGCTTGACGTAAGGCGTGGTAGCTGGAGCAGACCGGTGGGGCTCCAGCCTCTTGCAAGGGGCACCAACCACAACGGTGGTGGCAGCGATAGCTTGCACAGCTGCGGCTCTGTGAAGCCAAGCAGCGGCACCAAAAGACTATCGAGACACCAGGTGGCGGTGGTGGGGTTGGAGGCGCAAACGAGGCCCGAGCTCTTCGGAAATGGCGGAGAAGTCGGCGGTTCGGGACACGAAAGGAGCGTGGTGGGAGGGCCGAGCATTGCAGATAGGAGTAGCCCAAGAGACGAGAACGTTAGAGTGTCGTAGACAGAGCCGGTGGGGGCGGCGCGGGAGGCTCCACCACACACGTATGCATGCGGATGGGTTTACGTCGCAAGCACACCCTCCTAGCTAAGCGCTTCCCCGAATTGGCATGAAGCATTGACGAATATGCTGCCATTCTCGAACCCTCCGTCTCTCCCTCCGTTCGGGTTACAACTTGAGAGAGTAGGCATAGCAACATCGTACCCTTGAACGACTAGTTAAAGGTATAGTAGACCCCCGAGTACAAGAGGAAGCAATACTGACCGGGTGTGCAGAGGTTGGTTCATCCTCTCCAAGCGTGACTGCTGTGTCTTCAAAACAAATCATGGAGGCACCGCACGTTAGCTGTTTTTGGGGGGTGCATCGTTTTGAACTCCCGGGGCAATGTTGACGGTCCGAGCAACAACACGACGGTGTGCGTCGGGAAATCAGCAGAACAGAGGCGGTATTATCGATGATGAATCAGCCAAACGTACCCAAGGTTATTCTACAACGCTTGGTCGCCATGATAACCACGCTCACCCGTACCTCCTATGCTTGTAAATAGCTGCCGTGAACAGAGGGAATCGTCCTCGACGGACGTTGGGGAGATTGTACCCTGTATGAAGGGGATATCCACCTTCAACTGAACTGCTACCCACGCTCCAAGGTCGTAGTGGCTTCTGCATCTTGCACAAGAGGGGCACCGCGATTCAAAGCCCTGGCACTTATCCCAGCGTGCAATGTGTGTGCACGCCTGCCTATGATTGGGACGGGCGAACGTGAATCATCACTCCTGTTTGTGAAACCACGATTGTACGTGTGTCAAATGTTCTGCGGTGACTACCCGGCCGGAGAAAAACCACAGGGACCTCACAACTATTTTACTGGAGGTGGAGCACGCCACAGATGGCGTATATGGTCTGGGGATTGGGAAGGGGGGGATACTTAATTGTTGATTTCCTAGGTCGACGGATGTGAAGCGCCCGAACTAAAGTTTGGTTCGGCTCCCCGAAAAAGCTTTCGAACGCCAAGGTTGGTCACAAACGACCGCCGAGCTCTTTCACAAACGCGGCAGTGACGTTCCCTCCGAACAAGAACACAGCGGTGCGTTCCGCGCGCGCGGATCAAGAGAGCTCTCGTGTCAAGAGGAGGGCCGTTCTTTCATCCGTGGACCGCCGGTCGTTCTGTTTCCCGTTGCTCGTTTCACTGTCATCACCACCGAAATGAAACTAACTACTCTTCCTTTCCCACAAGTCCCCAAAATGGGCAACGACGAGGTCAGCTTCCACCCCCGCGCCCCTTTTTTGCTCTCGGATCACCAACCCCTTTGCCTCAACCCCTTTGTCTCTCATGAACGTCGAGATGACCCCCACCCGTCTTGGGTTCTCGTTTCCGAGCAAACAACACACAACCACCGCGGACCGAACACGTATTTTCATCCTGTTCGGGGGAAACCCTCCCACCACACGCACCAATCCCTGATACACACCCCAATGACGCTAACAAAATATCTCTGCACCTGCTACGCAACCCCCCCACACTTCGCCATAGAGCCCCCCCCCGGCCTCTTTACTACCTGTCGCACACATACCTTACAGCAGTGCCATCCCTTCGCCTGTAAGCCAGCCACCCTCCCTGGCCAGCACCGTGCCATCACCCCCCCCCCCATCTCCACCGAGGAAACCGACAACAGACAAGATTATCGACTGTGCTGCCGTGCACACTTTTCTTAAGAAGTGCAAGTGCACACATTTCTAAGAAGGACCACTAAACTGCGTATACAGCCGCATTGATGGACTCATCCGTGGTTCTTCTATTTGGAGTTGTACTGGCTAGCAGCGGCATCGGAATGTTGTCACATAGATAAGCGACGATACGTTGGCCTCCCCTCCCCTTTGAAGCTATCGATGTCTTTCCAATCTGCCTGCGGGAAGACAAACAATCGACACCCTACCACCCAATGCACCACCACCTTTTCCTTTGATATTGTACAGCCCACAAGGTGAAAAACAAGATTCGCACCCAACCCGCACTTTCTTTTCGTGCTCACGCGCAAATACTGAGTCTTGGCACCCCAAGCAAAGTCGACGCTATAGTTGTCGTCATCGTTGTTGTCCTGGCACTAAAACTCGTTCTGACTCTTTCCAGCTCCCTCCCTTCCATGCTCTTCGAGGTAACAACGAATTCCCACCGTCAGAAGCTAAAGGATAATCAACCCCCCCTCAAAACATGGCAGAAAACAAAAGGGAAGAAAACTACTCCGAGAAAGTGCCAGCACTCATCACGAAGAAATTTCTAGTATCTCTCTCACAGCACCGGCAAGAGGAATCTACATGGTTCGTGTGAATGAAAATTCCGCAACAAAGCGACCACTAACGCAAGCATTTATTCCGAGATTACCCCCCGAAACGACACTTGGTTGGCCCTTAACGACCCCAAACTGCCACGAATCGCACGTGACCTCCCTGACCTATGCAGGACACTCAGACAGATTGATCAACACCCACGATTGCAATTTCAACTTGGATAGCCTTCTACGTTCTAGTCCGCGATGCTCCGGGACGCATACGGGGAAGAACAATCATTCGGCAGACAACAACTCGCTCAAAGCGTTTTTCCGTGAAAAGCCATACCTGGCAAACAACACAGTGCGGGGTACAGATTAATTTCGTCGGAATCCGTAGAGTTGGTGGACATCTACCGGCCCTAAAATCCCCCAGGGACACAAACCTCAGCGCCGTCTGGATTTCAACGATTTGTGCCTTTCCCACCATCCTGAAAAATAGCCGAAAACCAACCTGGGTTGGGTTGCCGGAAGTGCCCCCCTTGACGAGACCTCTTCAAAGCCGGCCTAAAGACAACGTTAACCCCACGCACTAGACCCATGTGAAACAAGAAAACCCTTTCAAAATCTTGACGGAATCACCGATCTCTCGCCAACAAAAACACCAGAAAATAGCAGTACAAAAAAAGGAGAGGAGAAATATCTTCGCCGGTCCAAACCACCCCGCTTTCGACACAAAGATTTCTAACAGCGTGTGTCGCATGTAGCAAGGTGGTTCTGGGAATAGATGCGGCAAGTATCCACCGGATGGGATCTACCGCCGCACCCAACGCAAGTCTCCCTAGGCGTTCTCTCTACTTCTCCGGTGTCTTCAATTTGTGAAGTTAAAACATGTAGGGTCGGTTTGTTTGTGTACTTTCTTCCACCGACCGTGTCCCGACAACGGAACGCTGAAGAGCAACGTCACCGCCTGCCCCCTGCGTTGCTACTGCACATGTTGCTACGGCAGAGAACAACAGGTGAATGAACTACTCTTGATTTCGAGTTTGACAACATGAAAAAACATACAAATGCAGCGTTCAGAAGGAAATTCTCAACGTATCGAGCCGAGTGCGTTCAGACAACCAACAGCGCACATGGCCCTCTAGTTTGTATCCTCCAAGTAAAGTGGGACGACAACCCTCCTAGCATAATAACCCCCACCCCCCTCCCTTGGTGATGTGCTAGCCTGGTCCGGCGAGAACCCGGCGTGCTCCGTCCCGGCTTAGTAGGAATGCGAGGTCCATGGTCTAACGACTACGGCATGCGCGACTAGGAGTACATCCCCCCCCCCTTCCCTTTCCCTTCCCCCAGCCTGCACAGAGGGCTGGGCGCAGATACGAAGCACCATATTTTCTTCGCTGGCAAGTGAAATTGATGTGGGCCGCGTCTCTCTACGTAGCTCTACCAACCTTCGTGTGCCCTCAAACTTAAGTGGTGCCTGTGTTGGCTGGTAGCCCGAAACCTATGCAGTCTAGAGCTGTCAAACACAGCAAGCACGCGCCAACGTATTTACAAAAAAACAACCCATCATCCACCACCCGCTAAGAAGGCTCGTATAGAAATATGCACGCCTGTATTCTACCTCACTTGATGTGTACAAAAGAAACACAAGCACCAAAAGCACCAACAACACACCACCATCTGGCAATGCAACCCCACAGCGCTACGGCCTCGCCCTTCTTCAAAAAATCCGTGCTCCTTGGAAAGAAGTGTTGCGAGTATTTCTAGGAAAACTCCGTGCAAGTTACATCAAGTCCAACGTTACCTTACTCTGAGCCTCGACCACCAGAACCCCGAGAGAAAAAGAGAGAGAGGGAGAGAGGAGAATTT